ATTTCTGTAAGGCCTGATGCAATCCTTCGAATAGGACAACAAGTATTCTTTGTCGAGTTGGATCGATCAACTGAACCTATCCAAAGGTCACCTTTTCATACAGAACAGGTTTCCATAGAAAAGAAACTTGAAAGATACCTTAACGTGTTTAGACTTACATCAAATGAAATTATCCAGAATGGAATAATTGCTTTTATTATTCCCGATGCAATCTATAAGACGCGATTAGAAAATATCGAGAAGGCTGCAGCAGAGATTTTTCGAGTTAATAACAAAGTGCTCACGGGAAGAGCGATCGAGGACATTATTTTAAAGATAACCTAGTGGAAAAGGCACACATTGATGAGTCCCAACATTAATGTGTGCTTTTTTGTCCAAAAAATATGAATTATATATCACTATACTAATTAGTTAGCTATTATGTTAGTATATTATTTGAATTTCTACCCATGAGAGGAGGTGTTGCTTACATGAAGAAAAATACCAAAATCGTTCTGATAAGCATAAGTTTACTCATTTTACTTACTGCTCTTTTCTTGTTTATCCGAACACCAAGTCAGAACACTGAGGAAGATGTAGTTTCGCAACATACTTTAGAACCGACCGATCAACCGGTGCCAGAGAAAAATACTTTCCCAGAAACTACTGATGAAGTCAAAGATCGAGATGGATCACATGAGAAGGTTGAAAACCTCATAGACCAAGCCACCAGTATCGCAAAAGTGGGAAGGAGTAGTAGCATCTGGTTTTTTGGAAAAGTGGAAAACACAGGAACCTGGTTTATGGAGTTCGATACCAAGTATGCATTGATTCTTCTAGGCGTTTCGGTACTTATTTTTTCAATAGTTGTGGAGAGGGCAGCAGAAAGCAGAAAAATAAACGTTAGTAGAGTTGGGTAAAAGTTCCTTTGGGATTCCTGTCAAAAAAACCATCAACACGAGATGGAGAACAAGGAAAATCAAGAAGGAAAGCATAAAAGAACATGTTGTCCGGTCCAAAAAGGCTTGAAACCCAAGTCGCCTAAAAGAATTGGAGGTAAGCTGATCCGTTCGTTACCTATTCTGGACGTTCTTATTATTCCTCATCATAAAAGGTGCAGTGTCCTATGCTAAGGGAACTCAAATAATTCAAGAGGTCACAAATATAGGAACAAACCAACCAATTGTTGAGGACAGTCTCAAAGGCTTTGCAAGTGACTTTGCAACCGAATATTTTACATGGTCAGTTAACAACGTTAATGATCGAGCAGAACCACCTTCAGCGGTTTAATAGTGGGATCGATCAGGATGCTGGCTTGCAAGGCTATGATATTAAAGGTTCATCCAATGTTCTTTCCGTTGAGATCTATGACACAGCACAGATTAGTGACACACAGTATGAAGTTACACTAAACGTTAGACGTGAAGTGGATATGGACTCAATGCAAGAAGCTCAGTCCCCCAAAGATAAAAAAGGCAGTGTAATCAAAAAAACCTACATGGGTTATAACCCGTAACTGTGTCCCCCTCAGGATATGTAATCCAGTCTCACCCGCGTTTCATTGGAAATCAACTAAAAGGTGCAACTGGACTCCACAACACCAGGGGAATTGAATAGCAAATGTTGACCTTATTAATCACTCCACCGAATTAGCAACTAACGTACTTCAAGCTTACTTTGCTGGAAATGTTAATCAGCTTAAGTATTTCTACGAAGATGAAAGCTATCGCGCTCTATGAGCTTGAGTCAAAGGGACTTTACATTGAACAAAATCGTACATGAACCACTTTACAATATGCCAAGCACTGATGTTAGTCCTGAGCATATTCAAAGGGAGACATCCGTTTTGGTTCAAAACGACATTGGAGAAGTTTGGCCACAAACTCGTTGGATTCTTAATGTCTTCTAAAAAGGGGATCGGCTTTATGCATTATCCATTGGAAGCTTAAATAAGAATCATTAGAATCTGCCGAAGGGATGGACATTAATCCTCAACAACTAAAAAATGAGGAGAAATCTAGTGAAGAGATCTCTACTCGGAAGAAAATGATTCATCCATCACTTCAACAGAATAACTGAGAGGAGTAATATTACTTTATGCGCTAAAACAAGCTTTGAAAACAATCCCTTGCCGATCTGGGTTTCTCTTATGGTCTTTACTGGAATATTGATTGCTTTACCTGCATTTGCTGCCAAAGATCCTGGTGTCGAGGCCAACTCTTGGATCGTTCGAAATATCGGTGCTCTAATACCTGGTGTCATTATTATTGGGGCTGTCATATTCCTAGTTACTCCAGACTTGACAAAGCTTTGAGTTTCTTTTGTCAAAGTGTTGTTAGTTGCGGTGCATTTACTTGATTGGGAAGCCAAGAAAGGTTTTGCCAAATCCCTCTGGTCCACCATCTTTGGTTGAGATATGAGCAATAAAAAAGAAAATCCTAGGATCACCGTATCGAACTATTCAAAAATTTGGACACTAGATTGGGTGATCTATGCCATTGAGGGAAAGAAACTGTCGCTACCAGCTAATCTTCGTATTGTGGAAATCTTTTTGCACGTCTAATCTTTTTGGCTGTCTTGGGAAAAATATTATTTTTTATTCCCGGTGTTTATACCTATGCCTTCCTACCTGGCGTATCCGCTTGGATTATTGCTAAACAAAAGCTCGACGGTAAGGCCCCACATAAATGGCTATTGGACATGATTCTCTATTGGATGCGCCTGGGAAACATTTACATAGGTACCGTAAAGTTGAGCACAATCACCGGTATGTTTACAAAACCAGAATCACATACCGTCGCAATAGAAGAGAGAGCGAAACTACGCTCTCTTCTTAAATAAGGAGGACGACCCATTGTCCACGCTTGGAAGAGTGCAGAAAAAAACAAACAAAATCAAAGTTGAGTTCCCGATCGCCTACTTCGAGGGAAACCTCATTTTTAACCATAACAAAGAAGTCTGGGCTATCTACGAACTAAACTCCTATATCTATGATCATCTCAGTGACCAGCAAAAACTAGATCGACTCTTAACGCAAACAGCTTCACTAAACATGCTCACAGACCGATTTCATATCCTTTGGCTACCCAAGACCCATGATATTCATGAGCATCATGAAAACCTTAGAAATAAAAGGGTCTCCGGTCCACTAAAAAGCCGAGCGCTTGGAATCATTGATATGATGGAAGATTACCTTATTGGAAATTACAACGCCGTTGATGGAGCAAACAACGCCGACTACAAAGCATACCTAGTTGTCTATCTTCCTAGCAGCGATAGTAAAGATTTGGCCGAAGAACTGGGTACAATCGCCATTGAACTTAAAAAGTTCGTCCTAAATCCAAAGAGAGCTATTGAGAATTTTGCAGGTTTAAACGATCCTGAAATTTTTGAACATGAATACTTAAGTTATCAATCCAAGGAACGACAGATTTTCGAACGACTATCTCGTCGATTAAAAATTAAGCGAGGTACAGAAGCAACAACTGAATGGCTGATCCGTCGGAATTTCTGGTGGGGAATTGCCGAACCTCCAATGCGTTCAACCGAAAAGGATCCTTGGTCTCCAAAAAAGACGAGAGGTATGAAGCAGGGAAAACGATCTTCCTTATATGACCTGCACATGTTTCTACCTCACCGAGGCTGTACATCGATACCAGTCATCCGCGGCGGATAACTACGACACAAAATCCTGGAGGGTATCGATAAATCCATTCCACCATGCGTACCTTTCACTATCAGATTTACCGGAAAACATGGATATGCCAGGGAGCGAATGGCTCTATAGTGCAGCAACCCTCCCATTCCCAGTATCTATGAGTATCAAGGTAGACATTCTGGAAGCAAGAGACGCGCTTAAGAAATTGAGCCGTAAGCGAATGGACATAGACAACCAGGTGAAAAACATCCATGAAGCACGAGCTACAGTTCCCAGTAGATCTTCAAGAGAAGCAAGAGAATGCCATGTATTTGGAAGATGAATACAAGAAACGTAAGAATCCTACCTTCATCACCCAAGTTACCTATGGCTCTATCATACTGACCTGGAATTGTTAAAGAGTAACGTCTCCATATTGACGGACCACTACCGTGATTTCGGAAATATACAGGTTGAACTACCCAGCGGCGATCAATGGCTGTTGTTTAACGATTTCATACCGGGTTCCCCTAAATATGTCACCGACTATATACATCGGATCCCCCCAGAATTCTTAGCTGCAGGGCATGGTGGGAGCTACACAGGAACTTGGTGATGGTAAAGGACTATACATCGGTACAACCGGTTCATTGGAACATCCCGTATATTTGGACCCGGCTAACGCCAGTCAAGAAAACCGAAGTCCTAGTATGACCGTTACAGGTACATTAGGGGGCGGTAAGTCTGTTACTGCAAACCTACTTGGATATCAGAATGCGATTCTAGGGGGCAAAACGCTCATTTTTGACCCGAAAGGGGAGAGATCCAACTGGCCTGACGATCTACCGGAGCTTGCCGGTCAAATCCAAGTTGCCACCCTATCTACAGAAAAAGAAGATATGGGTAAACTTGATCCATTCGTCATGCTTGACGATATTGAAACTGCTAAAGAGGCAGCTGTCGAAATTTTGGCATACCTGTCTTCTACGAAAACGAACTCTGTGGAGTATAGCTATATCTCCTGGCAAGCTGTGAATATTAGTGGCCAAAGAGAGCGATCCCTATCTCGCAAAAACCATATCCGTCCTTTACTGAATGGGTGCTACTAAACCCCAGGCTACGATTCTGGCTGAGATATTAGAAAGCTTCGAGACCCTTTCATTTGCGAAATTGTTGTTTGGGACCGGGGGAGAATCTACGATCAAAATGGATTACTCCATCAACATTATTCAAATTCAAAACCTCAAATTGCCCTCTCCTGAAAAAGCCCAAGAGGAACTACTCCTTGGCTGAAAAAAAGAGTGTGGCATTGATGTTTCAGTGATTGCCCGATTCAACCACAAGTTCAATATACTACGATAGCTCCATCTTCAAATTTGTCTTAATGGATGAAGCGTGGGCCTTGCTGGGAACCGAAGCGGGTAAAGCATTGGCGGATACTATTGTCCGTACCGGCCGAAGCCTCAATGGTGGTGCCGTGTTCATTACTCAAAATGCCACGGATGTTGCTGGAGATCTGGCAGGGAATATCGGTGTCAAGTTTGCATTTCGCGACCAAGACAGCGACAAAATTAAAAACACTCTTGCCTATTTCGGCTTAGAAGCTACTCAGCAGAACATTGATATGATACGAAATCTAGAAAATGGTCAGTGTTTGATGCAGGACCTTTACGGGCGTATTGGTCTAGTCCACATTGATGTCGTATTCCAGCACTTGTTTGATTGCTTCGATACCCGTCCTCATGCCAAAGAGGAAGAGCAGAGCTCAGGAAGAAAACGCCAAATGTGCTGCAGCGTTTCCAAAATTACTATGATGAAGAGTACGGGTGAGGAGGAGGTAGCCACCCCGGATGAACAACAAAAGTTAAAGCGTAGCTTTACGTGACTTCACCACCCGAAATGGGCCTCCTGGGGATGTGCTTTAACCATCCTGTCCACACCCAGCTCGCTAAACAGTAACGTTCCAATGGCAGACTTGTTGGATGAAATGCCCATTCCCAAGATAGCCAATCTGGAAGCTAATTATAACAAGTAAGGTGTATTCACACTACTCTTTCCAAACCGTTGCAAAGGACCGTCATTTTTGGCAAGTCGGTGCGAAAGCACAGGATGGGATAGTCCGTGCTTTTGATGCCATGTTGTCCATGGTCTTCTTGGCCAATGTAATGATTGCCAAATTTACGAACTACGTTATCCGAGAAGCTTTCACCTTAGCTTTATGGACGAGCTAATCCGATGCGATCGGGAAATGATTCAGAACATTACCGGTATAAAGAATGGCATGATTACTTCCGGGAGCTTCTGGGACACCATGGGTGGCATGCTCGTCATGATCACAGTAGGGTACATTCTTTATCTTATGGCTCGTGGACGAATTATCGATGGTTTTTCCCAAGCCGTCAGCTTTGTCTTAGCGCTATTAGTATCCATCGCATTCTTTTCTCAAGCAGCGACGTTTCTAAAATTCTCGAATAGCCTAGTTACTTCAATAGGAGATTCCATTTATGTGTCTCTTGCAAAAACCACCGGATTAAAAACGAATGCTCAAGATGGGGTTACCATCATTTCCGAGCAGGTATGGGAAGAGCTCGTATTACGTCCATACACAATGCTTCAGTTCGATGACAGCAAAATCGGAGAGAAAGACCCTCAACTCCTGGATAAAGTGCTCACGACAGCAGCATTTTCAGATGAACGTGAGGAAGCGCTAAAAGAAGCTGTAACCAAGTATCCAAAAGTGGAACAGGAACGTTCGGCCTCACAAGCCATTATTGTTCTGTTTAACTTGCTCTTTTCGATCGTTATATTAGGCCTTTTCTCGTTTTGGGCCATATCCACCGTATTTATGCGCCTTAAGACACTTATTCATGCCGCCATAATGTCTATCACTCTACTAGCCTCGTTGCTTCCTGGTAGAGAGGCAGGTGTATCCGTTCTTCGAACGCAGTTCATTAAATTGATTGGTACCCTCATTATGACGGCTATGACCATGATCTTCTTACACTTCTCATTGGTATTTGGCCATTTGGTATACGAAATTGTTGCAGTGAAAAGCAATAAAGGCTGGTTTGCCGGCATGTTTATGGAAGCCATCGCCATCTTTATGGTATTTAAATACCGATCTGAAATTAACGGTGTGTTTAGTAGAGCCGCTGGTATTATTCCTTAGATGCCAAAACAAAAATCAACTGTACCTGGATAGTGTGAAACGCAACACTACCCGTTCGATCTATAACGGTGCAACAAACAAAGTAACAGGAATGTTTAATCGTAGGGAACATGAGGGGGTACCCCGATCCTTTAACCCAAGTTCGATTACCCGGGCAGACAACAATCTTAATGATGCAACATCTGCCAGTATGATGCTGCGTTACCAGCGTGAAAAACAAGCTGCAGAAGACGTTGCTGTAGAGAATGGTGAACCGGTTCAATACACGCCATTCGTGAACAAAGTCAATGAAAACCTTCGGAATGGAACAACTAACCCGTTCCGCGGGATGGACAAGGAATGGAAAGATGAAAAAACTCGGCTGAAGGAGATTAAGGACGATGGTGGGGATGTCAAACAAGCCATCTTGTCCCAAGGTGTTCGCGAAGATATGAATGATCAAGAGGTGGTAGCAACGGTATATGGCAATGAGAATGCCATTCGTAAGGCATCCACATTTATGGTTCAACGTCCGCAACGTGCCGTGGATCAAATGCAAAGGGTCAAATCGTTAAATCGAAACCGCAAATTGCAAACGGCCGTCGACGATTTTTGTATGATCCAACTGTTTGATCGGTACAAAGTTGAATACAAGCAAGCGGTAGATACCTCTAATATGACGGATCAACCGGTTCAACATACCGACTTTGTGAAAGAAATGAATGCTAGATTCAAAGAATCTGGTTTAAGCACAAATCAAAAGATCAAAAAAAACGATACGATGCTAGTCCGGTCTGGTAGAGTTTCTATTGCTTCCAAGTTCGAAGGAATGGAAGAATTCAAAACTTACAAAATACAATTACTGCAAGCTAATGAAGCATTCCGGAAAGTTAACGTGCCTCAAGAAGGCATTGTTGCTCCTGGACCACAGGTCCGTGTGGCTGCTCCAGCCAATCCGAAGACCATTCTGGAAGTCTTTACCACCTATGCCGAATAGCCAGGATCTCGGTGACAGCACAGACGATGGAGCAGAAGGCCGCCGTATTACTAAATGTAAAACATTCAGTAGAGACACAGCTTGCCCCGAAATCACTCAATTTCAATAACCAGGAATTGAAAGCGAAAATGGATGACTCTGTAGGTAGGCTCAAAGCAGGTATGCGGCCAGAGGATGTAAAAATCAACGTCGACGCTGAAACCAACCAGCGCGTAGCCGTTCAGCTTAAAGGGAAGATCTCTACAGAAGTTACGGACGGGCTCCAAGGCGAACTTAAACATTTGAAAACAATGCAAAGGGCGAAAACTGCACCCGTTAACACGCAAGTAGAGAATGTTTCACAACAGATCAAAAGAAAAGCTCGCTCAGCCCGTACACAATCACTGAAAGCCAAACCATCCGGAGACGTGAGCTAATTTGATGTTTAAGGGAAGTGATTATCCTGACACCTGATACTACTCCTTCTGCCCGGCGCAGGCGAAATGCTCAAAGAGCACATTAAGCAGCAGGTCAAAAACAAAGTCAACAAGAAAGCGAAGGAGATCATCGGTAAAACCTTGCTTAAATCCCCCGTATTTTGGGGGATTATTCTCGGTGTTCTCGTATTCTTTTTAATCTTTTATACCCTAGCTGCAGCTGTTTCATCCGCACAAGAGGTTGCTGAGGAAACGCAGATTTTCGAGGGGATTCTTCCTCCAACCATATACGTACGAAATTTCGAGCAATCGATTACCAGTGATTTTGGGAAGCGCACACACCCCGTAACCGGAGTTGTTGAGTCATTCCATAAAGGAATTGATATCGGTATCCCGGTAGGAACTCCCGTCACCAACTCCTTCGATGGAATCGTGACTAAGGTTAGTTACCCCCGGACCACTGATCCGGATTCCACACAGAATGCTGGCATTTACGTGACCGTGGAAAGCACCAACCCTGAAATAGGGATGAGCAGCCGATACCTTCACCTTAGTAATGCACTTGTCACCACAGGACAACATGTTCAAGCAGGCGACATTATTGGTTTATCGGGTAATACAGGAAGATCCACCGGCCCTCACCTTCATTTTGAAATGATGCCGCAAGGGGAAGAGGCGATTGATCCTAAACCTTATGTGATGTTAATGTCCAAGGTAACAGAGACGGCAAGTATTGAAGCATTTGAACTAGCAAAAAAAATCAAGTGGATAAACGAGAACACAGAAGGTTCGGATTTTGTTTCTAACAAAATGATGTACATCAGTAATGTGTATATGACCAGTGCAGCTCCAGGGTTTAGCGATCAGGCAACCACATATATTCGTGAACTCGTATCCGGAGGGACCAACGTTGTTGAGATTCTTGCACCTGATGGGAGTACCATTGAACCGGAAGAATCTCCTCCTGTTCAATTACCACCTGAAATTGGAGGTATGACCAATCCCTTCTTCATTTCTTACGCGGCTGCTGCCCAGGAAGAGGAACGGCGTAGTGGGGTGCCAGCCAGTATTACACTTGCTCAAGCTGCTTTGGAATCGGGATACGGGAAGAGAGCTATATGCAATAATATGTTTGGCATAAAGGCGAATAGTAGCTGGAAAGGGTCTACCTGTATGGCTACAACCCATGAGGAAATTGGCGGTGTAAGCGTGCAGATTCAAGCTAAATTTAGAGCATACAGTAGTCCTGCAGAGTCATTTGCCGATCATTCGAATTTCCTTCTGAAAAATAGCCGATACAAAAGGGCGTTACAGATGGAGAATCCTTTTGACTTCGCAAATGAACTGCAACGTGCAGGATATGCTACTGATAGTCAATATGCCAACAAATTGAAATCGATCATGATCGGCCAGAATCTAATCGCTTTAGATACAAACCGAGGTGTTGATCCAGTCACCGGGGAAGCATATGCAAGCAATCCATTCGGGAGTGGGCCAAGCTCGGGTCTAGTAGACTCGATTACGATCACATTTGGGTTAAGACAATACTACGGAACTCCTGCAACGATAGGGAATTCAGACAGTCCATTTAGAGACCCAGACAACGGAAATACGATTGTCAATTTGGAACATTATAATCGTGTGGTAAACTTGGGATATGGGGATTTAAATCCTCCTAGAATCTATATGAAAGACATTCCGGAGGCTATAAGCATCACTGTTAATTCATCCGATAAGGATGCTTTACTCGTAACTAATGTCCAATATATAAAGGGGAAATACTGATGAGATCACAAACGGTCGTTTTAAACTTTAATTTCTTCATGATGAACTTCGAGATTACATTCAGCGGAGTCCGTACCTGGTTAGAAATGGCCGGTCATTCCCTGACAGATATAGAACTGTTTCGATTGCTGCTGTCCCCCGAACAACTCACAGAATCGAATGAGTCTGAAATTCTTCGTACGCTTATTTATCGGTATGAAGATGTTTTCTTTCAAGCCAATCGTCTATCCATGAATGAAGAAGTAGATATGCCGGTTGCCGATACGGATGAACCTATGTATCAATTGCTACTTCGCATACTCCAGTACAAGACCATTCACGGTGAGCAAAATGCACTTATTGAACTATATTTAATACTACAAAATGATAAAAATTCAGAAGCACCATTGTATATTTCACTACATGATTACTTCGAACTTCATTAATGATAATGGGAAGAGCCCCTAAAATAGGGGCTTTTTTTGTTTCAACGTATTAGATAATTGAATTATAATTCATTTATGATTCGAAGCTGAGAAGAGCATTAACAAGTTAATCCTAGAAAACATTATGCAACATTAATGATTTTTATCAGGTGTTTATTGCATTCTTATTTAGTATACTTGCCTTTATTAGAACTTTAAAGAAGGAGAGATCACTTATGAACTCTAGATTACTGGTTGATGCAACTGATCTAGTCCAATGGGCAGATAGACGCGACTCGCAATCTGTACTCCCTCAGCTTATTCGGAGTTTAATACTCTCAAGTAGCGACCATATTGAGAAGATTAGTTTTGCTGCAGGAGAAGGAGTAAGCCTAGGTGGTTGGGATGGCGTTACTATTTCCGAGGAAAGTGATAGTTTTGTCCCAAAGGGTACAACGGTGTGGGAAATGGGTGTAAACAGATCCGTCAAAGGAAAAGCGGATGACGATTATGAGAAACGAAGTCAGAATCCTTTATATATGATTCCCGCACAAACAACCTATATTTTTATCACACCAAGGCGATGGAGGGATAAAGAAATATGGACTGTCGAGAGGAAGAAAGAAGGAATTTGGAAGGACATACTAGTCTATGATGCTGATGATCTCGAAACATGGTTAAGTCAAAACCCTACTGTTCATGTTTGGTTTTCTATACTTTTGGGTAAGCACCCCCAGAATTGTACAGATTTAAATAGTTATTGGACAGATTGGTCAGAGGAAACTCAACCTAACATCTCACCAGAGATGGTTTTAGCTGGACGTGAACATATAAAAACAGAAATAGTACATTGGCTAAAAACTGCACATGCCCCACTTAGAATACAAGCAGATACACGTGATGAAGCTATAGCTGTATTTGCTGCCTCCATTAGTCTACTTCCCAAAGTTGAAAAGGATTTTAATCTAACAAAGGCAATAGTTGTAAACACTCCAGAGGCGTGGACCTATCTATCATCTTCACAAAATCAATTAATACTTATCCCTGCATTTGATTCCGAAGGTTTAAGTCGTGCAATTAGGAACGGCCATCACATCATGATACCTTTGGGACGTTCAGATAGTACAACGTCAGATTACTACACAGAACCTACGTCTTTCACGTGATAGAGTGACATCCATTCTTATCGACAAGGGATTAGATGAGCACCAATCACGTGAACTTGGACTTTTAGCTAGAAGAGGACTTACTACATTCCGTCGACGCATGGCGCTTAGTCCAGAAATCAGGCAGCCTTTATGGGCCCGTCCAGGTGAAGCGCGATCTTTGGTTCCACTTTTATTAGCTGGTGCTTGGAACGAAACAAAAGATGGTGATAAAGATAGCCTTAAGGAGTTAGCACAATGTCCATATGATGAGCTTAATGAAGTGCTAGTAAGATGGGCAAACGAGTCCGATCCTCCTATACGTCGTATAGGTCACGCATGGTACGTAATTTCAAAGGAGGATGCATGGTCACTTTTGATTCGTTTTATTACACCAGCTGATATTGATAAATTTAGAACCGTGGCTATTAAGGTTCTTAGCACAAGTGACCCTGCATTTGAACTGCCTGTTGAGGAGCAATGGATGGCGGGGATCCTTGGTTATAACGCCAACTACTCAGGACTTCTTATACGCAATATAGCAGATACACTAGCATTTATGGGGTCAAGGGAAGATACTCTTTCATAATGGTATTATCCCGTTGAGAGTTACTGCCTCTAATATTATTTATGAATTATTTAGTAATTTGAAGGGGGATTGGCGAGCATGGTCTACATTATCTTCTGTTCTCCCACTTCTTGCAGAAGCAGCACCGGCTCAATTTCTTGAAGCACTGTGGGTGGAAGTACTTAATAAGGATTCAATTTTAAAACTATTCAATGATCAACAGGACTCACGGTTTGGTTCTTCTCCACATACTGGGTTACTTTGGGCACTCGAGACACTCGCGTGGAACTAAAAATCACCTTAGTGGTCGGTCTTTTTATTAGCTAGGCTAAGTAGAATAGATCCCGGTGGAAAATTATCCAATCGGCCTAATAATAGCCTTCGTGAGATATTTTTGACTTGGAATCCCAAAACTTATGCTTCTATCGATCAGCGTATACAAATCTTAGAGATGATTATACAAAGAGAGCCGACCGTTGGCTGGGAATTATTATGCAGGTTACTACCAGAGTTTCATGGAGTTGGACGCAGCACGACCAAACCAAAATGGAGGGACTGGGCTCCAGATCAAAGTAGAGATGTCTTAATAGCAGAGTATGACAGAATGACACATGAGATTGTAAAGATTTTATTAGCAGAAGTAGGGGAGTCCGGTGAACGTTGGAATGAAATCATTCAATCTTTACCAATGTTACCTTTAGAGGACTTTGAACTTGTATTAAATGAACTTAATAGACTAGGTGATACTGGCATCGGTTCAGAAGATAAAGGGCTCATATGGAACTCACTCAGAAAAATAATATCAAAACATCGTTCATTTCCAGATGCAGACTGGGCTCTTCCTGCAAATTTTGTAGACCGTATAGAGGAAACTTTTAATAAATTCGAACCAGTCGAAACCTCCTCTCGTTTTAGTTGGCTCTTTAGCAATTCACCTGAATTGCCAGAGGGGCGTGAGAGGGAATGGGAAGAACGTATGCAAAAGCTTCATGAAGCAAGAACATCTGCATTGACTAGTATTTATGAAAGAGGTGGAATTAAGGAAATTATTCACCTCTTAAATAATGTAGAGCAACCCTATCAGTTTGGTTCAACACTTGGGGAACTCCGCCTGATTGAAGAGGAAGAGGATAATCTTCTTTTAGAATACTTGGACTCTGCTGATAACAAACTGGCTCAATTTGCTCGTGGATATATGCTAGGTAGTATCAAGTGTCTTGGAAGTAATTGGGCTCTAGAAAAATTGGAAATTCACAACAATTGGGGAAGCTGAATGAAAAAGCAGAGATTCTAATATTCCTACCCGCTAATGAGAGTACTTGGAGTTTGCTCGGCAAACTAGGTGACGAGGTTGAAAAAATACTTTGGTCGCTAGTCTCTCCATATTCTATAAATGAGAAAGACTTAGAAACAGCCGTTACTAAGTATATACAATATGAATTGCTATTTTTGGCAATTGAATCCATTAGTTTTTCAAAAAGAATATGCCAAACCTAATCAAATAACCGAGGCCTTGACAAAACTTCTCTCTCTATCTCCAAAAGACAATTTACCATCCACCTGTTCTCTACCATATTTCCTGAGCTGTTTAGTAAACCTGGAGAGTTGGGTGGAAAATATTGACGAGGAGAATTAGCATCATTAAATGGGGCATACTTGTCTTGTTTTAGGATCAATATGGCCATACTCCTAAGCTTCTTCATCGCGAACTATCCCGTAACTCAAATTTTTTCTCAGAAGTAATATCGCTGGTTTATAACTCAGAAAATGAGGAGTTGATGAACCTACTGCCGAAGAGTTTGGAAGTGCATCACAAGGTGAAGACCTCTTAAAATCATGGCGTACTTTACCAGGATTAAAGGAAGATAAATCTGTTAATAAACAAGAGTTATTTGATTGGGCAAGCAACCTCTTCAAGCGACCTTTTGAATCCGGAAGAGGTAAGTATGGGGCTAGGTATATTGGTGAAATCTTAAGTGCATCTATTGTGGGAGAGGATGGAGGATGGCCTCATGAAGCTGTTCGGGATGTAATTGAACAATTTAGAAATAAAGATCTTGAATTAGCGTTTACTAGAGAATTGTATAACAGTAGGGGAGTTGTTACTAAACAGGTAAATGAGGGAGGGTTACAGGAAAAGAAACTTGCCGATAGATACAATGAGTACGCAAAAATTTCTGGTTCACGTTGGCCACGGACAACTGCACTACTCCGTTCTATCGCTGAAACATACAACAGAGAGGCTCAACAGGAAGATATGAGTGCCGAATTAAGAGAAGATTTAGATAAAATGAATTATTAGGCCCGGAGTGTTAACTTGGGGCTCTTTATTTCACAGG